GGTTTTCATTGTCCAAACTTACAACAATCTCACTGTCCCATACTCGCATACATGCTAAGATTTTGTGTTTGTAGTTTGTATGTGATTTGTATATTTGATATATTACATAAGATTGGAACAGAAACTAAATGAGACTACTGTACTGTGTAAGATATCAATATTTTTTGTCTTTGTAGTATTACTACTCAGAATCAAGATGATTCAAGATGGAGCAATTTGAGAAGTCGACTCAGAGAATTTACTTTGAATACCCAGGTGTGTGAAATATTTCATTTATTTTAAATTTTGTATAAACGCAAGACATATACTGTGTTTCTTGTAATCTTGCCCATTTGCTTTTGTTTGTTGAAATTCCCCATAAGCTTTCAGAGACATCAACTGGCAGCGATTTTATTTTATTTCCAAATTAAGCTCATTCAATTCTATGATTCACTGGTCCAGTTTTGTTTGAATGTGACACAAAGACGTGATGGATTTCGTGTACATGCCAGTTTGTTTTTAGTTTGTCATCAAATTGTCAATTTAGCCAAATGCAAATATTGACTTGATTTTTCAGCAAGAATTAGAAGCTGAGAGAGCAGCATTATTAACCAGATGTTATATAGCAGAGCAGCAGTTAGAAGAATGTCATTATTATATTGAAACCCATCTTACAAGGTATATTAAAGTAATCTAGTTGTCTGCTAGGGCAATAAAATAAATTGTATATGACATCAAATTTTAACTCCCGTGTGCGAAGCACAAAAAGGGAGTCTTTGCAGTTAGTGTGTCTGTCTGTATGTGTGTCTGTGTGTGTGTCTGTTCCACTGATATCTCAAGAACCATACATTGATTTTTTATGAAACTTAATGCATAGATGCTCTGGGCCAATGCGCAGATTTGATTAGGTTTTGGTAAAAATCCATGCATATTAATTACCTAATTTGCATGATAATTAGCTGATTTTTAGCTGTTCCATGGCTGATATTTAAAGAACCACTCATTGGATTTTGATGAAACTTGGCACATGGATGCTCCAAACTAATGCGCAGATTTGATTAGTTTTGGGTAAAAATCTGTGCAATATTAATTACCTAATTTGCATAATGATTAATCAATTTTCAGCTTTTCCACTGATATCTCAAGTACTAATCATTACATTTCAATAAAACTTGGTACATAGATGTCATAGGACACTGCACAAACCTGATAGTTTTTAGGGTAATATTAGTACATATTAATTACCTAATTTGCATAATTAATTAAATTTCCGCTTTTGATATTTCAAGTAGTAATCATCACATTTCAATGAAACTTGGTACATAAATGTCATAGGACACTGCACAGACCTGATAGTTTTTAGGGTAATATTAGTACATATTTATTACCTAATTTGCATAATTAATTAATTTTCAGCTTTTGATATTTCAAGTAGTAATCATCACATTTCAATGACACTTGGTACATAAATGTCATAGGACACTGCACAGACCTGATAGTTTTTAGGGTAATATTAGTACATATTAATTACCTGATTTGCATAATTAATTAATTTTCAGCTTTTGATATTTCAAGTAGTAATCATCACATTTCAATGACACTTGGTACATAATTACTTAAGGACTGTGCAGACCCTTGATTAGTTTTTTGATAAATATTTATGCATATTAATTACCTTATTAGCATAATTAGTTAATTTTCAGCTTTTTGCCTGATATCTCAAGTACTAATCATCATATTTCAATGAGACTTGCTACATAGATCTAGGACTATGCAGAGACTTGATTAGTTGTAATTAGATATTAATTACCTAATTTGCATAATGTTCCACTGATATATAAAGGACCACGAATTGGATTTTAAACTTTTAAAGAGAACTATGCAGAGACCCAATTAGTTTTTGTTAAATATTTATGTTTATTAATCACCTAATTAACGTAATTAATTAACACTGATATCTCAATTACTGATCATCACATTTGAATAAAATTTGGTACATAAATGCTCTAGGACAATATACAGCCTGATTAATTTTGAGTTAAAATTTGTTCATATTAATTCTCTAATTAGCATAATAATTCATAATTTGTTTGTTCTGTTCATATTAGTTACCTGATTTACATAATTAGTTTCAGCTTTTCCATCAATATCTCAAATACAAGTAATTTTGAATTAATTTTTAATGTGTCTTCAATACTCTCAGCACACAGGAGTTCTTTCTAAGCTTTCTTTGATCTTATCATGTGTTCATTATGCTTTTGTCAAAGTATTTCTTCACACTACACACTTGACTATCATATGCAGAATACATATGTACATTATCATATTGGTATTTAGCATTTTCTCAAAGATTGAAAGTCTGAATGCTGAAAAATGCTATTCTAAGTGATGACAAATACTGAATACTAGTAGCCATGAAAAATTGTAATATTTTACAAAAGTATTAATATGTTAAATACTATCTGATCCAACATCATGGGATTTGAGTTAGCATTAAAATTAAATGTTTCAAATATTGACCATATACATTAAAACGCATTCTTAATATTTTAAATTTTGTTTTACAGATACAAAACTGAAAACAACCATCTACGTAAACTGCTCAACATGGATGATATTGATGATGTCACTAGTTTACAAATAGCAATGAAACACAACAGAAATAAACCTAATATTAATCAATAATATTTTCTTATGGCTTGGGAGGCTGGTATGGAAAGTATCATGCCAAAGTTTTAACCAAATTGCATTTAAAAGATTATGCTATTTTTATGTTAATAATCCTTGTAATAAATTCTGTCAGATCAGAATGCGAGCTATGACTCTTTTTATTAGTCCCCGTTCGGACGCAGTCCGAAAACGGGGACTTATGTTTTGCCCTGTGTGCGTCCGTGCGTCCGTGCGTCCGTGATCACCTGTATCTTGAACATGCATGGACCGATTAAGTTCAAACTTCACTCATACATCACACCTTATATGG